AAAAAAAAAGGAAGTGAGGAAAGAGGAAGGAAGAGGCCTGACAAAATCTAATTGAGAAAGTAGGTAGAAAGGGTACAGTTATGGATCCCCAGAGACTCTTCTCAGCATCCTCACAACCCCCGTCTCTGTCACCTTTTCCCTCTGCCACTGAGCAGGACCTTAGTCTTTGTCTTCAGCTAGGCTCAACTTCCTTGGATCTGCCACCCTTCTGGCCACTGGGCTCCTTCCGGTGTCTTGGCCCAGTCAGCCCAGAAGCCACCCTCAGGATAATCATAACCAGCATTTATGAGGGCTGACTACGTGCCAGGCCTGTTGCTCAGGACTTACACAAATGCCTTCTTCATGGCCTCCCCAAGAACTAGAAGAAAAGAGAAAGAGACCCTATAGCCTAATGGAACAAGGAGCACTCAGCGTACTGACTAGGGCCTGTAGTCCCCAGAACCTGAGAATCAGAGCCCCACTACCCCTCCCAAAGCCAGGGGAGACCCCAGACAGACTGAGCAAGGACCCAGGCTCAGGAGAACACAGGGGTCAAGACTGGGCCCTGATGAGGGTAGGGGAGCAGGACTGAATGAGGGAGCAGAAAGAAGAGACCCCCCCACCCCGACGCCCAGTTGAGGTGGACCTACCGATGAGCCTGTGGGAAAATACACACTGTGTGGAGAGTGGCCTTCTCACTAGGGTGAGCTCCGCGGTTACAGCACGCAGCCACACCGGCCGGTCACACCCACCAAAGCATTAAGTTTCCTCAAAGCCTGAAGAGGGAGGAGGTTTCCAAAAAGTTACCAGGATGCCAATCCCATCCCCTGGACTGGGGTCATGTGGCCAGCTAGTCCAGGCACAGGAAGGACAGTGGCCTGGACTCCACTGACGTGGGTGGGAAAGCCCATATCCTTCCTGTTCCAGAGACTGCAGAAGGCAGGGAAGCCATCGATCTCCCAGGAAAGACATGGCATCCTTCTGTCCAGCCATGCTGCCTGACTCGTGAGAGCAGAGGCTTTGACCCCCAGGACGTTGTGGAAAATCACAGCCTCTTGGGACAGACAGACAGGAAGACTGCCTGATTAGGCTGGG